AATCATAATTTTAAATTTTAGTTAATTTCAACAGTATTCGGGACATAATATTGATATTAATTCTACAAAATTATTTTGACGGCGAGTTTTAAAGGAAAGTAGTAAATATATAATTACATACAGGCTACTAAATCGCACAGAAATTGAAATACACACCTGAATATTTTAAATTTGAAGAAAATAATCACCGACGTAGATCCTCTAAACAGTCTATATTTTAAGTAAGTTTCAGTCTTATCCTATTTCAGTCACCAAACAGTTTGCTTTATAAGCTGAGTTTCATTTAAAGGGATTGTGAAATTACAGGATATAAGTATAATATCTTAGTCTTCGAGAGTGGCAACTCATGAGTGGTATCACGCGACGCTAGGAGCATAGACAACGGCTACCACTTACTATCATGTGGGGGTGGTTAGCTAGTTTGCCGATCAAGTTAGATAAAAAATATAGATCGGGAATTACAGAACAAGTACATTGTTATTTGAATACAAAAATATACTTCTTTCTTAACATGTCTATTAGTATAAGAATTTGGAGATGAAAAGTGGTTAGGGACTAAAACATAAATAAAAACCATCAAGTAACAATTTCACATTAAAAATTTTGATAAAGAAAGTACATATAAACCAAAGTTATATCGTGGTCACAGTTGCTTTATTTATTTCTACCGCAAAGTAAGAATGCGTACATTTTTATGTTTTGGTGGAAAGGGTAAAAGCGAGTGCTCTGACACAAGATAAACAAAAAAAATGAGACAGATAGAACAGTCTGCTTTATTTTACCATTAAAATTTAATATTTATTGTAAGCATCCAACCATGGAAAATTGGTTATGAAATATATATTTTATTTTTATTACTCTGTTATTTTATATAACGATGTAGTTTTAATTAATATTTCAATTAATTTTATATTGTAGAGAATTAGTAATTTATTAAATAAAGAAGAATTTTAGTTGGTCTATTTCAATATTCATTTATTGCAAAGATTTTGTTTTGAACTAACACAGGCCCATTTTCTGAATTAGTACCATAACAATATACAATATTTATGACTATGTGAGTCACAATACAGTTTTATTTTGAACTAGCTGTGCCTGTGGTTTCACCCGCTTGTTTATATTATTATAGCCTATGTGTTATACTAATCTAGATGCTATGTTAGTGTAAAGTTTTATCAAAATCAGTTTCGTAGATTTTACGTGCAAGAGTAACAAACATCCATCAATCATCTATCCATCAATACTCACAAACTTTTATGTTTATAATATTAATAAGATGTAGTAAGTAACATTATACAAACTTTATCTGCGTGAAGAAGTAAATAAAAACACAGCCCACAATACAGTTTTATTTTGAATAGATAGAGCGTGTTTCGTCATTTCACTACGATTAGAAACTAGGTGTTCCAGTTGATAGTTTTCTATTATTATCTGTGATGGTAGGTACATGTTCTCAGCGTAAACAAATAAAGGAGAAGCAATCCTTTAAGAATCAAATTGTAACAGAAATAGCCAATGTTTATGACAGTAACGGTTTCGTATCTTCAAAAATAATCAAATCAAAATTATTCTCTTTTATGTAGGTCTTGTACAAATACTTATGATAAGTCATGTCTATATGATATGTCAGTATCGGGGTGTTTTGCGAGACAAAACGAACAACGAGAATAAGATCATTGTTAATTAAATTATAATGCTTTGGTGGTACTACTATGGTAGGGGTAACATTGTACTCAAATATATATACCTGTAGAGTATAAATTAAACTTGTCTTTTCAATATTATGTTTTTTTGGATTATCACTATGTCATTGTTGGTAGTAGTAAATAAAGAGCAAACTCATTTGTAGAGAATAACTAAAAAATTCTTTAACTTCATTTTTTCAAAATTAGGAACTTTATCTATGTATTATAAGGCTGTTCTAAAGAGATAGGGAATAAAAATCGCAAAGCTAAGAACTTCTGGACAAACCCGGGGACTACTAGTTGAACAATAAAAAATTACATATTGTTGCAGAACTTTTTGCTTTATAATTTGTCATTTAGTTGTTTATTGTAATATACGAACGAACCGGATATAATAGAACACCGAACACACATATCTTCATACTGAAAATTATGTTATTATAATTATTCGTATTTTTCATGAGTAAGAACGCTAACGGTTTAATAAAAATTAGTATACGTCATCTATAGACACATAAACTACAACGGACACAGGTCGTCATGTAACACTTATGGCTTATACACTTATCATGAGTAGCCATTCCTGATGTGTAACATGTCATTAGTCCATAATCCTGTAAACCACCAGCAAATTCATAGACAGCTTGCAAAGACAAATCACGGCGACAAAAAGAGGGACGCAGATGATTTTAAACGAACCACGACATTTGCTGTGACTTATAAACCAGCACAGACAATATAATACATATAAAGTAATTACATTATAATTTATCACAGCACAGCACCTACATTGGAAATTAATAATAATAATCCTATTAATTAAATTTCGTAATTGCATATTTGCAGTTCTGAAAATTGATATTTGCTGGAGTTCATTTGTGTAATATCGAAAATGGCGACATAATTAGTGTATGATGTAGATAATTACATTTCAATAACATTACTATGATTGTTTATAGATTAAATATACAAAATTTCAACAATTTCAATAATGTCATATTCTTTATTTCATTGTCATAAGACAGTTTTTCATGTGTATTTTCATAAAAAAGTATCGTTTGATGACTACATTATTATTTTATTATTGAAAAATAGCTTCTCAATTATTTTCAAGAGTTCGTCATGTTAATACGATATACTATATATAATTAGTCTATGTATAACTTTATACATTTGACTATTTCGGCAGTACAGAATATGAATTTTAAATTTAAATTATAAAATTTATATTTATTACCGATATATCAAAAACAGAATTAGCGATAGTTGTTTTTACTTTATACTCTCTACAATTGCTTGTCATCAACGTATCATTCAATGTGGTTTAAATTGGCTTTTAAGGGTTCACATAATTGTATTTTATACCCTAAAGGCTTAAATTGAATTTGATTAAATGAATCGAGCGTTTCATTAACAGAATTTGGAACCGAATTTCCAAGTTGGTTCGTCAAATGTGATTACTCTGTATATAATAGATATGTAATACTGTTTACTTCATTTTCAGTTATCATAAAATAATAATTAAGTTGTTTAATATTAACTTGTATTAATGTATGCGATTCTTAACGTTATTCAGCCTTTAATTTATTAAGTATTTTGAGAATAATCGATGAACACATGTTTAAATTATTATATATTCACTGGTTTATGTAGGTAAATTAATTGGTTCTTCAGAGATGTTTTTGATTAATTTGAATGAAGCTTAATATAAAGTATAATTAAATAATCAAACAGTAATTCATATTCTTTACGTTCCAGTAAATGGGAGTTAGAATATTTAATAAATGTTTTAATATTCAATTGAGTACGAAATGAAAACTTCAGCCAACCGCCGGCGGCTTCTTTGTCTAGGAATATAATTTAGACCTAAATATTCTATAATCATTGCGATGAGAATATTAGCTAGGTACTTGTAATAGGCAGCTGTTATTTTTATTATTTTTCATTACATGTAACAAAAAGGTGTAATTTATATAATAAATACAAATATAAAATAATTCTTTTAATTGTAGAGATCATTTATACAGATATATATACACTATTAATGTATATATGTAAAAAGAATTTAAAACTTATTATTTGATAGCATGTGAATTTTGTTTTTATGATTTATTAATTTAATTAATTTAATAACTTTGATGATATCATGTTTATTCACTATGTTAGGTAGAATTTGAATCTAAGTTTTTCACTATGCGATAAAAATGATAAATATGTTGTATGCGCAGACACAGACCTGTTGAATTATGATATACCTACATTGTATGTTACCTCACATGTATCTGCCGACCTATTTGTCTTCGTATATATTTTAATAATTAATAATATTGAAACAAGATATACAGTTTAAATAATGTTATAGATTATTCAAGTTGTTAATGTTTTTAATATAAGTTATGTTTTTGGTAAACTGTCCATTATGTTCTAACATTATCGAAATTATCCTCCAGGTTATAGACATATTTTAAAAATGTAAATAGAAATATTGAGAATTAAATGAAAGTATTTTCATTTAATTCTCAATATTTCTAGCCGATAAGTGAAACATTTACAACATATAGTGAAAAATTGAAAATGTAGAGTCTAATGAATAATAAATATTAGAATTCGGTTTCAAATTAATCAATTAAGTATAAACAAGTATAATTATTACATTTTATTAATTTATGTTATCTTATTATTATAAAGTATATATATTGATATATACTTTATATGTAAATTAATCAAGAATATCATTTATCACTATTGTATACAAGATAATTGAAATTATACAATACATATACATGCAATAGATAACAACAACATGTATACCTACAGTGAATACATATTGCGATAGACAATTTTTGAAGTACTCTTGTATATCATAATCTCTCAAAGTGGAATTAGACCGATAGAATAGCAGCACAGATTAGAGTTAGACCGAAATGAGAGCTAGGTAAGGATCGGAGATGAATTATATAGTGTTATAATATTCTGAATTGCAATAAAGTAAAAAAAAAAACAAATTTAAAACAAAAGAAGACAACTTTAAATAAAAAGAAACGGAAGAATAACACTACACAAAGAAAACGTTAAAGGAGTAAGGTATAGAATTATCGCTCAGTCTAAATCCACCGATAAATAAAACGTAATATTAATTTTTTTGAAGTTAACTCAATCGTTCGTAAGTGATAATAGATGACTGTGCAACGCGCAATAAGTATCCACCTGGAGGTTGTGGGGGTGGAGGAGGGGAGGGGGGGGGTCTGTGTGTGCGCGGTGTACGGGGTGCGGGTTGTGAGGTTGCATGCTTGTGTTAGTGAGCGTGTCGCGTACCGGCGGGTGCGTGGTGTGAGTGCGCGGCGCGGCGTGCGCTCAGCTCGGCGGTCGAACAGCCACTGGGCGGGTCGCGGCGCCGCAGCCTCCGATCTCTGGGCCGCCCGCCGCCCGCCCAATCTCGATCTGCACGGCTCAAACTTTCAAATGCATTTAATGCTTTCCCGAAGAAGCAACATGTGGCCGACATGATGTGAAAGGTCATGAAGACGTTCTCAATCGTCTTTATGACCTTTTATATCATGTAATTAATCGCTATTCATACTGATATTGTAAATTCGAAAGTGTATCCATATGTCTATTTGTAACCTTTTCTAATAAGCTATTTTTATATCTAAAAAGCACACGAAGTTAGTGATTGTATCGAAAATATCTTGTTTTATATATGTAATATTATAGTTACAGGACATGCTTAAATATTACTTATCATTGATAAGCTATGTTTGTATATGTCTGACTTTTTCATATAATAATTTTATGAAGCGTTATAAATATGAGGGTAATTTGTTACATACTGATAGGTTCTTATCATTAATAATAAAAATTGATCCTGTTGGATTATGTATGAATAACGTCGCATTAAGTATTCAATATATAATACCATTCGGATTATAACGCAATAGGTTCTATAGCGTCATAAGCTAAATTGTATTAGAGGTGGAAGATGATTGGCTCGGGAAATAGGGACTGTAAAACTTATACTCAATTAAACACTTCACGTATCAAATAGGTATTCAAATTTGAATTTAATTACATATTAAGACGTTTGATTTTTCTTCAATTCAATTCATCTGTTTTATAGAGTCTATGTTAAATGTACATTTTGAGCCTGTTGTTTTAAACTGCTACATGGATTGTACTGTATAATTAAAGAATAAAAAGGTATTTAAAATTTATAAAGCTTTTCACTGTGACGGTTGATCGTTAGGGTAAAATATAAATTGATTATTCTACAATTTGAAAATTTCGAAATAATACATAATATACACGGTGTTGATTAAAGTAATGCAATGAGGTAAAAAATGCGATTAATACACAAAAAGTATATCTACCTGGACATAATATCACATACACTAGCAACTACTACTAGTAGCTGGTAATTCTCATTGAAACAGATTATCATCCATATACAGTTATGCCAGTATGTATTAATTAATAATTGCAATTGTAAACTGTATAAATTATATATCATTTCACTGAAGTGTCAAAACTATCGATTTTATTCTACTATTATTACGTACAGTTAATACGCAGTTGCCAATGAAATGTTGAAGGTGCTGACTTAAATTTTTTTTGCAACTTATTCTAATTCTAACCGTAGGTGGCCTTTACAGTTTACTTATCGACAATAAGGAAGAATGCGAAGAGTACTCTAGATCTAAGCAAGTACTTATGGGATGGCTGAAGATCAACTTCCGCCTGATGAAGACTGAGGGTACCGCCTATATAGGGGTTTGAAACTCGGTTAAGGCCGTCATATTTTCGGGCACCGTTTGAATAGGACTGCGGTCGATTGAAGGGAGGGGGGTGGGGGTTTATGGCCTTACATTGTTGTGATCTCACCCATCTCAGAATGCAATCAAGTGTGCTTGGCAGAATTATGTGGTAGTTTCCTTGGTGAGGCGGTCCATATCGCCCAGTTTCAGAAGCGAGCGAAACGTGCATTGAAAAGTAAATATACTTAAAGGTTTCTGCCCACTACATCGTATATACTATGACTATGCTATGACCGTATCAGGTATGGAAAGCAACACCAGACGATCATTAAAATATATTATACTATAAATTATAAATTAATAGGAAAATAAGAGCGTTGTGCCCTTGTGGTTTATCATTCCGTAATTTTTTCTACTCCTACGAAAATCTTTTGACTTGATTTTCGTAGGCCATAATCTTGTATCGGAGTAGAGAAATTGTATCCGTAAATGTAGCATCCAAATTTCTTTTTAAACCATAATGGTTTTTAATAATGTGCAAGGTTAGAGAGAAAAATTCAGCTAATATACGACATATTTTGACCACCTTTTGTACGAATTAAAAAGTTTTAAGGTCAGATTGTACAACCTGTATTATGACACGTTGTAGTGGGCAGAAGCCTTAATAGAGCGAAGCCGTTATCCGCACCCGTTGCCTTTTGTTTCAGCTTATTAAGTATGTGATAAAACATACTTACAGCTATATTAAATCTAACTACAATTATTATGCTCTATAAAACGACACATGGGAATAATTACAAAACCTCTTTATGACATTTAGGTAATGAATGTGACTCTACATATATTGTATCATATAAAGTATTTGTCATTTTACAGTTTACTTATTTATACAACACTAGCTACCCACCCCGGCTTCGCACGGGTGTACATGTATTATACGTTTAAGCCTTCCTCTTGAAGCACTTCATCTACTGCTAAAGACTGCATTAAAACCCGTTGAGTAGTTTAAAAGATCTAAGCGAATAGACTTTATTTTAATTTGCGAAGATGTTATAATTCAAATATATAACCTAGATCTATAAAATATTAAAAAAAAACACCCTTTTATTTAGATTTTACTAACACATAAGTCTGAACTTATCTGTTAGTAAAATCTAAATAAAGTCTGAACTTTATATGATATTTTTGGCGATTATTCATGAATTCAGAGGAAACTGTTTCAGGGGTCATTACTTAGTTAGTTAATAGTTCTTTAGCTACATTTCATATTTGATCTATGATGAAATAAATATTATTGTATTAACGCTAAAAATAAGATAAATGTCATTGTGGGCAACCTTCAAACGCTTCAAAAATGCATTACAGCGATACCGGACCGGAACGACCTTTAAAAAATTTCAACACGAATATAGCTGAATTTCGTCGTAGCGTAAGCCCAGTGGTCGGCGTCCAGTGCAATAAAAATGAAATATATTTACTTTTGCCTTTACATGCACAAAAAAATGTGTTGTCATAAAGCTACGTCGTAGTTTGTAAATTGACTACTTTGCATAGAAATGGGAATAAGGGTTTGGATGGGATGCCTCATCCCATTCAAAAGAGTGTTAGTACTTAGTACATTGTACATTTATTCGGACAGTCAAGCTGCTCTATAGATGGATAGAAACTGTATCCTGCTACTAAATGAAGTAGGAAGCAGAAATAATATTAACTGAGAATAATAATAATCCAATGAGAATCGACCATCTGGCACAAAAACAGAACCCTTCTGTGGTGTGCCTCGTTGCCTAAAACTGGGACATCTCAAATTAATAACCAAACGAGAAGCACTGAATCACTGGCAAGAAACTAGATACATTCAAAAGACCTTATACTACAAATATCCAATAGATTACTGCAATTGTAAAAACAACATATGCATGATGACTAGGGCCCTCACAGGACACTGCAAATTGAACAAGCATATGGCTAAGCTAGGCCTATGCACGACATATATATTCTTTTGAAAGGAAACGCCGCTTCACATCCTATGTGGTTGTAATATATATACGAAAATATTTATATTGATAAAAACGAGTAAGAATATCCTTATTCTTGTCCCTGACTAGGTAGCGAATAAGGGCGAGCACAATAGATCTATGTAGGTCTGTTTGTACACATCTGACAATAGCCCAAACAACCCAATAAAAAAAAAAAAAAATAGTACATTTATTTAATTATCCATTTTGAGTTATAACAAATATATATGGTCAACTCTATACATATAAGTAAAATAGTGTCTGTTTGTAATATTGAAATAACATTTTTTATCATATGAATATATATGGTAGGTACATATACCAAAATAACATTTTTTATCATTTTTGTCTGTCTGTCTGTCGGTCTGTTTGTTCCGGCTAATCTCTGAAATGGCTGGACCGACGGGACTTTTTTTGGCAGGTAGCTGATGTAATAAAGAGTTTACTTTTATTTTAGAAAAAATAAAGTTAAATTCCAACCGGACGAAGTCGCGGGAACAGCTAGTTGTAAATAAAAATGTTAGTACCATACGTGAATTGAACCCATGACCGGACCGGTAGTGTGTTAAATTGCTTTGTTACCGAGGTCGTTGTGCGCACTGAGGCTTAATTTTACGATTGCTTCTGGCTGCTTTATTAAAGGATGATTGTAACAACTATCAGAAAATTTCTAGAGCTCGTAAATAATATTAAAAAAAGAAAAATTTGCATTATACCCCATGGAGTAGTTAGAGGTAATTGTCGATGTTGTAGTGAACACAATACTTAACATGTATACATTGACGTTTCAAAAATCAACATTAATTGGTTTTGATATCGGTGTTTCCTTCATACGAAATAATATGAACATATAAAATATCTCGTTTGCATAATCAGTACAATGAAGCACGTGTTTAAAGGCTGCATTACTGGAACTCAATCTGTTCTACGAAACAACCCTCTTGTTACATAAAAGGACCTCACGTAATAAGGTAGCAATATGTATTTATTATTATATAACCCGATTGTGTGGAGGTGACGGCAATTAATGGAAGCGTCGGACACGAATACGTTTGTGAAACAGAAGGGCTGTTTCACAGACGTATTCTGTAAAATGTTTTCTGTTGTTGATTAAATGAGTTTTGGTAGCATCAGAGACTATGTAGAATTTTCATTATAGTAGAAGTAACTTATTATTATTTAGCTGCGTTTATGTATTTATTAGTTACAGTCAATGAAAAACATATCTACTTACCTACATGTATATTAAAAAATATCAATTGTTATAAAAACGTTTTAACAATTCGGCGGAAGGTTATTTCGTCTAATATTTAGACAATAATTTATATTCTGTATTTTGCAAATAAGGTGAATGATGTGGGTCACGAGACCATGCCTGAAGTGCGCCAAGGACATGTTTTATGTACCACTGTAGTGTTAATTAAACATTCGTAACTCGTATACTCGTTATAACATATGTAGTCTGAGATATCCCTCTTCATTTGTAGCCACTAACATTCTTCGTGAATTGATAACCTATAATTTTATAAGCTAATAATGGTGCACGGAGTTTCAGCAGCAAGTTTTATTTTATATCATTTAGCCTATGTG